GAAAACACTCAACAACTGAAATCGAGCTTTCTTTCCTTTTCCATTGTCGAATGTGTGGCGACGGAGGTGTGGGGTAAAATTATGCCATTCAGCAGCAGCTGCTGCTGCTGATGCCATAGGGTGGGAGTTTTCCTTTAGATAGTTCTTTTCCGCTGTTCTGCTCTTATGTTTTTCTGCTGATAACTTTCAAATGCAATGCCGCAGGCTGTTGTGGCATGGCAATAATGCAAAACATAGCAACAGAAGGAGCAGCAGCAGTTGCAGCAGAAGGAGCAGTAGCAGCAGAAGGAGCAGCAGCCGCAGCCAACGAGAAGAGGCTGCTGTTCAATTTCTCATAAAAGTTTCCCTTGACAGCTGAGGCAACATGGGAGAACAGCAAGGCAACAAAAACAACAAGAAAAGAGAAAAACAAAAGAAATATATGACACACAATTCAAACTTGAGCGTTGCATTTCGGCATACTGAATTTCCAATAAATCAGAATGGTCGCAACCCCTTAAATATTTCAGAGAATTCCAGAAGGGCAAGTGGCAAAGTGACCGAGCCCGATCCCCAGTGAAACAGCACTTGCATTAAAATTAAAAATATTTTCTACTGCGGCGGAAACGGCAGTAAAAAAAACAGCAGTTACAGTCGTTCCAGCAAGCGCCGCCATTGCCAGGAGCAGCACAACTTCCGGTCCGTGGGATGGTGGCCATTTTGTATTTACAGGCATTACGAGCCCTGGTCGGATTGGCGACCCATTGGAGTCTCAGCGGGGGCTCGATGCTTTAACGCGTTTCGCCCAGCGCCCACGGGACCAGGGACTGGCAGGCTGCTGCCAGGCCTGGCTTAGAGGTGTGAATTATTGCCGAGCAGCGTTGCCTGACTGCCTGATTCACATCCCCGAGCGCACGGTGACAAAAGAGGAGCAGCCCCAAGGCCATAAATATGTTAATCAAAAAGAATTGCAATTGGGATTGCATGGGGTCGAATGGAACGAGTCCCAGGATCATTCTGTTTTTCTAGCATACTTTTTTGGAGCAGCTCAAACGATCGCCTCGCTCGGGCCCGCCCGTATGCTAATTAACACAGTTACCGGACAGCCTTTCGTTTACTTGCAAGGACTTCGTCATTTTTTGCCACAAAAATTATAATTTTAATGAACCCCGCTGGCATATGCTAGAAGACACAAACCGCAAAGCAACAAATTATGCAAAAAAAAAAAAACAAAGAAGGGCACACAAAAAATAAACAAATAAAGTGGGGGGTGGGGCGGAGACCTTGCACATCAGATTAAAAAGTAAACTTTTTAATAAAAATCACTTAAGCATTTCATTTGCTTGCAGAGCAGCAGGAAGAAGAGGGGAAACAAAAACTTTGTGGAAAAATTAAAAATTCTTTTTTATGCAGCGGCAAAGCATAATCAAATAATGAAAGGAAAAAGGCAAATGTTTTCCACAGCAAATAATGAAAAGCGCTCATTTGTGGTTAAAAAAATCGTCGGGTCTGAAGGAAAGGCACATAGAGAAAGATAGAGAGAGAGAATGTAAAACATATACATTTTTTTTTAATAATATAAAGGCAAAGCCAAAACAAAGGAACCAACAAATTTGCATTTTGTGAGCGGGTCACGTAAACTTGACGAAAATGGCTCAGAAAAATGAACACTTGGTGAGGCCCAAACAAAGGCCGAAAGTTGGTGGAAAGAAGCGACTGCCTACTATTCTGGCAGAACTCATATCTTATTATTTTTTGAGGAAATCTCCACTAAAGTAAGTCCGAGAACGAAACGGATTCGCTTCAAATTAAACACAAAATTGAATTCTGTGCATCATAATTTCCCCAAGGATGCTTATTAGGCAGCCGGCCAAGGAAAACTGGCTACAAAAACAAAGCCCCCAATGAATTGAATCGTCGAGAACTCCACAAGACCAGCTGAGATTCCGTCTGGTGTTATTTTCTGATTAGGCATGGGAGGGGAGGAGCTGAGCTGCCCCAGATATGCCCAAACACGTAAGCCAGTTGCAAATTGACAAAAGGAAAAGCAACGTCTGATCAACTATGCATAAACTCATTTGGCAGGGACAGCGCCAAGGCGTTCAGGTGAGAAAAACCAGTGATTTGAGGGGAAGACTTGAGCATACACACTAAAGGTGCAATAACAAGTCCAACAACTCAATTCCATTTACCATTAAAATTTGCTTTGAAAAGTACGAAGCAACAAATTGCATAAAACAAAATAAAATAAAACAAGAACATAGGAAAATATTTGCCAACACGAAACATACATACACACAGCGCTTAACCACATTTATTTTGCCCGAGGCATGCCAACAACCAACAAACATGCAACCAACAACAAAGGGGGGGGAAAAATTACAATAAAAATAGAATAAAACAGAAAACAAACCCAATGAATCCATTACAGTTTGAACTCTCTCCCTTTATCTACACTTAGTCCGCGTATCTGTCTCTGTCCGTATCTTCTACCCCCTCTCGAATCAATTGAATTTCGACTTTTCAGCTGGAAGCAAAGTACAACTTTATCCCAGCGACCAGGAATGCCAACCCAGGGGTGGCCAGTACAATGCGAAATGCCGTGGCCAGGGCCAATTATCAAACAAACAGAACAGTGAACAAAATTTGGTTGTGAAAGTTTCTTAGCTCGAAATGCGGGTGGGAAGGGCGTACTCCGAAGGGTTCCCGAGCAGAACCCGAGACTTTTACTATCGAAAACCAACGAAATAACTCCCAAGAAAATAACAAAAAAAAATTATAAGAAAACGGAAGTGTATCTTCAGTGCTCGAAGCTTCAGATACCCTTGCACACATCTACATATAAATTAAGACTCGGAAAGGCATCCCTTCCTGCGTGGCATACAACTGGACACAAAATACTAATGCCTTCGGTAATGCCAGGGTATAACCACTAAAAGAAGCAACTGGCGTATAGCCAAAAGTTCTTCCAACTCCCCACAGTAGTTGTTGTAAAGAAACTTCGCATAGGGGTTGGAGGTGGGGTTCGGGTCCCCCGTCCATAGATAGAAGCCAACCCCCAAGACCCTAATTGAAACCTAGGCAACGACGAGAACTTAAACTTTTGCGTAAAATGCAATTAAAAGCAGCACCCAAGCATCAGTTAGAGACGGATTTTTACTTAATCTTCTGCATCAGTTTGTCCCCAAAGCCCCAAACAGACAACTCAGGCAAAAGGAATAGCAGCAGCAACAGCACCAGAAGCAATGGAAGCCACATCCAAGCCAAGTTCCAGCAATTGTTGTTTCGGTGTGGAAAACTTTATGCCTGGCCTAATGCAAAAGCAAACCAATTCCAAATCTTATTTACGCAGAAAATTAAACATCAACTGTGGGCAGGGCACAGGGATTTTGGTCTGGCTAAAATTATAAACGAGCACCAAGCAGCGCCCCGGGGCCAGGTTACATAAGTTTTGATAACCAGAAGGCAGTAGCAGCAGGAGTAGCAGGAGTAGAAGTTTTTTTTTTAGTTTATAGTTTCCTGTTTTTAGATAATGCAAAAGTTGTAACTAGATGCGTCCTTGAGGCGTTCAGTTTCCTTCAGCTTAGGCCTGTGTGAGTGGGTTGGTAGGTAGGTAGGTAGGAAAAGTTTTACCCAAAGATCGATAAGTAATAAAGTGTAGGGGGGAAAATACAAGTCCAATCTGATTAAGCCAGGAAACGGCAGCGGCTCTGTCTGAAAAGCCTTAATTAAGGGATTAATTTCATATTGAATTCTCAGCCTCCTACGCTGGATAAATTCTCTTGAATTGTGGCAGCCGACATTTATCATTATTGCCAAGAAATACGCACAGGAGAGAACTTTCTCTGCCTTCCAGCCAATTTGAAGCAAACAATTCAGTTGGCTTTCGGTGGGAATTTCACACTTGGATTCTCGCAATTGAAATGCTGCAAATGCCTGAAATGCCATAAAAAATCAATTAATTTTCGGCTTTGCAAAGAGAGCGGTGGAAAACGAATCGATTGCCAAGTAGAATGGGGGGGGGTAGGGGGTTTCGACAGGCCACAAAGTCCACAACGAAATGAAGACACATGTTCTTCGAACAATATTGAGCCAGGCTCTCCTCCCATTTCCCATTTCCCACTTCCCACTTCTTACATATCTCATTTCCTTTGCAGTTCTCTGGCGTTGACACCAGGCAATTTTCTGCAAGGCAATTGGCAAGCACTCAAGACGCTGACTGCTGGTCGCTTTCGCTTTGGATGTCCTGTCCCACACACACACATCCATGCCCAGTCACGTTTTAGGGCCTGGACTCGTCTAGCATTCGATTATTTGTTGACTTAAAAGTTGTCTTTTTCCCACCCCCCACACTCATTCCTGTTAATGGAATTGCGAGGCGCGCGAAAAGTGGGTCGAGAGTGTGTGTCGGTCGGTCGTTCTCATAACCTAGTTAATTAGGATGAGATTTTTTTTTCCCTTGGCTCTTAATTGCACATATGTCGCCAGGAAGCAAAAGGCTATTCGTGGAAAAGATGAAAAACTGTAATGATTGCACCGTAAGTGGCAGCAATTAGAGAAAACTTTTCCCCAGCCAGGTGTTCTGCGAACATTCGTTCTGTGTTCTCTGCTGCTGCTGCTGCTGCAGAAATGATAGAAAGGCTGGGGGCGAAAGGTCAGGTCAGACTGATTTTCTAGAGACATTCCAACCGGAAATTCGTGTAGGTATATATGTATGTACCCAAATGTGTAAACACATCGAAACAAACAAACAACGAAACGTATAAATAATTGAAATATTTAAAGCAAACAGAAACACACACACACACACCAATATCATTTGGGGTTTTTTAGAAAACATGACTGAATTTGTGTGTAGTTCTGAAATTCGTGGGGAGGGGTCTGTTGGCTGTATGGATGGTCAGGCGGATGGATAGATAGATAGATAGATAGTTTGGTTGGGGTATGGGGTAGGGGGGGAGTTGGGTACAACATTTGTCAGCTAAACAGAAACTACAAATGAATAGGCGCCTTCTACTCACTGTAGGGCTGAGGTCGTGTACCGTATAGAGGCTCCTGCAGTAATGGCGAGCGACCATTTCCGATATCCTTAACTGAAATGAGACAAGAGCAAATTGCAAACAGATTGCGCGTGATAAATGTTTCCACAAATTGGTTGAATTTCTGTTTGGGTTTGGTTTTGCTGGGTTTGTAGTTGTAGATTGGTTGGTTGGTTTGTTGTTGTTTGGTTGTTTGGTTGGTTGGTTGTTGATTGGTTGTTGTTTGCTTGTTGATTGATTGCTTGTTATCATTGTTTTTTGGTGTGTGTATGCTGTGTAGGCGATGTTTCTTCATTAACATTCTCATCCTCGCGATTTTGATTTTTATTCGTTTGGTTGCTTGTACTAAATGCTAACTAGGCAAACACTATTGTTCTCAGTGTACATTTCGTGTCTGAGTGTGTGTGCTTGACCTCACAGATGTAACAAAAAAAAAAAAAAAAAAAAAATGAGAACAAATAGATGATAAAAAAAAAGAGTATCTTCCCATACCGGGAATCGAACCCGGGCCTTCTGGGTGAAAGCCAGATATCCTAGCCACTAGACCATATGGGACCAATGAAATGTGGCGCCCTACTCCCGCCAAGAAGAAAAGGTAACACACGGAAATAAATTCAGATTCGTCTGTCGTCAGTTGCTCCCTCACGCCTTGTCTTGTTCATTGCCTTGAATGCCAATGAATCAGTTTTTATATACACATAAAATATAGTAAAGTAAAGAGGAAGGCAAACCACACAACCAATTGGATTTCAGAGTTGAGGCAGGTCAGAGTCACACGAGCTACAGGAACGAGGGAATTGGAAGTCGGAACGCGTCGCGTTCGAATAATAATATTCATTCAAAAAGAAACAAGAAATAAATGCCGAATGGCCCAAACGCTTATTTAACACTACATCTAAAGTGGATTAATTTATGACAGCAGAACATTTTAGCGAAATGCGGAGAGCACGCACCTCCCCTTTTTCCCTACACCACCAACAAATACGTCACCAGATGAGATAAAAGGCGACAGCCACATAAATCAAGAGCTTTTTGAACAAGATTATCGCGCAATTTACGAGAGACAAAAGAAATATACAAGGAGAATGGCAGAGAGTGCCATCTGGCCATCTAGCGTGGAATAGATCAAGATATCATACCCCCCCCAATGTGTGTGTCTATATGTTTGTATGTGCATATTTATGTATTTATATGGTCAGGTTGGTTCTGGCACACTTTCGCAAGAGCATTCACACGCTCCGTCCGAGTGCACTGTCAATGTTTCAGGGCCAACTTCTAGTCCGGGGCCTGACCAAACCGAGCCAGCAGCAGCAGCAGCCAATCATTCAATGGCGACCCCAATAAATGCATACTCGTATAGTTAATGGTTCGACGAGTTGTTCAGAACCTGTTTCAAATATATTTATTTACTTATTTTCGCTGTTGATTGCCCCCAGCTCAAGCCCCAAGCCCCTGCGCCAACCATCAACCCCTGCCATTGCCAAATTGTTATGTTTTGGCCAGCGTGGTGCAATTAATTTTTATGTATAGCATTTTGCGTTTGTTTTATTGACTTTTTATGGCTAAATGGGCTAATGATTTACATCGCTTGTCGGCTGCCGTATACCGATTACCGATTCGGGAAGTTTCTTTTTTTATGGTCTTGGGAGATGGAACACATCACACACAAACACACACATCTATCCATCCATCCATACCCACGTGAACCAGAAAAGGATCCCAAGTCTTATACAATACATTTAAAGTTTAAACGTATATTGCGAGAGTATTTCTCAGATTGTGCTTAGATTTGACATTTGCTTGTTGGGTTCGGATCGTTTTGGCACTTACAAGCTATGAAATTGTATGGGTACTTAGACATAGAGTTAGATTAGAGTGCTTCAACTGACTCACCTCCGGCACAGTCGCTGCGTAGTTGAGACGCCGACGCCTCTCTTCTCCGTACCACCACTCTCATCTGTTACGATACATTGTATTGCCCCGCACGCACTCCCCGGTCACAAATGGGAGGCTTGTGACCGGCGGAGCAGGATGCAGAGGCGGAGGCGGAGGCGGTGGCGGAGGGAACGGGAACTACTCGTACAGACAAGACATACATACTCGTACCGACCGACTAATACCACTCACTATACATATTACATGCCCCGGAATCAGTAGCAATAATAACACGAGAATGGTATAGGCTAGGGCTTACATAGCTTTGAACAGATCCCAATGGTAAAATTGTGAATAAATTAAATAAAATTCAAGTTTGAATTGAAATTTGTGGTTCATGGTATATGACAAAATAGAACAAAAATTATACTATATATATATATATATATTATACATATATATGTATATATAATATATAATAATGGATTTAGCAAATAGTTCTATTTTGATTTTGTTTGATTTCTCTTATGGGGTTCTCTCTCATTTTATACGTCGGATTGTCAGTCAACACATCAGGCACAGCAACAACCACATTTGCCAACATATACATATGTATGTATGTATATCATGATTCTCCGATGATATCGGTTCTCAATTGGTTTCAGTTTTATGCAACAAAATTCAAAAACTTTTGCGTTTTGCCTCAGCCGGCAGTCAAACAACATTTCAAGGATCTGTTCAAATACGATTTCGGCTTATAACGACTACTAATTGCTGGGGCTGTAGTGACAGTAGTACGTAGTAGTAGTAGTAGCGGTATTGGTAGTTCTGGTAGTATCTGTTAGGATGGTAGTAGTGGAGGATCTAAGCTTTGATTTTGATCCCGCGATGTTTAGCTGCCTCTGCTCATGCTTATCCTCATCGATATTCTCCATATCCATATCCTCATCACCTTCATCCACATCATCCATATTATCCATATCATCATCAAGATCAAGTCCAACAACAACCATTCTGGATGCGTCGGTGTCGCTGCCCGTGCCATGCATCTGCATCTGCATCTCTCCTGCACACAGACAAACACAAGCGAGATAGAGATAGATAGTAGATAGTGTTGGTTGTGATATTTTACTGATTTTTTACTGGGTTTTTTTGTTTGTTTGTTTGTTTTTACTTATTTTGAGTGAGAGAGAGAGATAGATAGAGAGAAAGAGAGAGAGAGACAGTGAGAATTCTTGCAAAGTTTCGGTTTTTGTTGTGATGCATTTGGTCCTGCCCAAAGAGTTTTATTTATATATATATAAATACATATCTATATATTTTCTTATATTTTTTTTTTCTTTCGTGGTTTTTGAATTTTGGTTTTACTTTTTTTTTTTTTTGTTCTATATATATTTATATTTTTATTGATTTGTTGTATAGATTGCATAAAATTGAATGGTATTTTCAAAAGAATTTTCAAACTTTAAGTTTTCTTGAATCTTTTTTTGGTGCATTCTTGCAGAGATATTATATTATATTTTGTTGTAGTTGTTGGTTGCATTCTGTTGTTGTTGTAGCTGTTGTTGTTGTAGTAGTTGTAAGTAGTTGTTGTTGTAGTTGTAATACTTTGGGGGACAATATATATATATATATATATATACATATATATATACATATATATTGGTTCTGGAACTTTAAACGCACCCAGAGACGCACACAAAATCACAACAAAAAGTATTAGCAAGTTGTTTTTTTTTTTTCTCAATTGTATTAGATTACTGCTGTACTTTCACTTGGCTCGAATTCGGGGGGGTTAGTATTGTATTGTTGGTTCGAGATTAGTTCGGATGGCGTGGCAGGCAAGGCAGGCAGAGGTTAAAGTTTGCACGGGTTAAAGGCATGGTTGGAGGATGGAGTTGTTCTGACCGCACGCAGTGGATATAGTGGATAGATTGGGTAATCTATGCGCACCGCTACTCGTATTCAGTATTCAGTATTTGGTATATACGGTATTAAATCTAAGCTTTATCCGTGTTTTGCTGTAGTTCTTGGCGCTGTTATTGGGGTTATTCGAGTTACTCGACAGACTGTTGCAAAAATAAAACAAATCATTAAAAAAAATTACAAAAAACACGTGTTGTCTGGTAAAAAGTATATCTATGTATTGTAGGTATATTTTTCTTAGTCGAAATCTGTTGTTAGTGATTGGTGGGTTATTATGCTAAGGACACTGAGACACTCCAACCAGGTTTACCCCGTTTTCATGCTCTCTCTTCTGGAACTCTCTTTGTACAAATTGGTGCAGGGGTGTTTTCTGTTTTCTGTTTCTGGTTTTTGGTTATTAATGTTTGTTCTGTTGCATATTGATTTGGCTGTTGTTTCTGTTGAATTCTCTCTTCGCTTCGGTTAAATGGTTTTTAAGCAGAGACTCTCTCTCTTTGGTGGCTGTTGTTGCTGGCTTGATGTGGCTGTTGTGGTTGTTGTGGTGATTCTTGGCTAAGACCAAGAGAGTTACACAATGTTTCAATGTTGTGTTCTTGTTGGGCATATCGTATTTTACAAGTGTGTTTCATATTTTAGGTTTTTAGTAGTTTTTAGCAATGTATACTCTATATCTTTGTTAATTGTTTTTTTTTTTTCGGGGTTGGTGTGCCTTTTTTTGTTTTGTTTTTGGTTTCTGGTTTTTGTTGCTGTTTTTGTTGTTGCTGTAGGTTTAGGTTTAGTAAGACGCTTTTCATGTGTTGGTATTGTGTTGTTGTTGTTGCTGTTGCTGCAGTTGTGCTGAGATCGTTGAGGATTGAGCTGCTGTTTTGCTGCTTTGATTTTGATCACTTTAATTCACTGAATCAGAGATATTTTGAAGGATAACAAATGAACAAATGAAAACTTAACGAAAATGAAACCCCATTCAAGAACATTACAGTTACAGTGTATTTTCACTAGAAGCAAAATATGCTTGCTATAGTTGAATATTTTCCCATGGGTTGTCAAAGTTATGTACTAGTAGTAGTAGTAAGTAGTATGTGGCTGGAGATCATTCGTATATTCCTATGTAAAGCTTAGCTAGGTTTAAGTATACGATATTACATATATGTATGTATGTACATATGCATGTATTTGTGTGTGTGTGTGTGTATCTAGACCCTCTATCCAGGCCGTGTATACTTATGCGTATGCGTATGCGAGTGTGGGTGGGG